GTCTCAACCTTCCTAATGCCGCGACCCTTTAATACAGTTCCTCATGTTGTGGTGACCCCCAATTTCATTGTTACAAATTGAACATAATTAAAGCATAGTGATTAATCACAAAAACAATATGCAATTATATATGTGTTTTCCGATGGTCTTAGGCCACCCTTGTGAAGGGGTTGTTCGACCCCCAAAGGGGTCACGACCCACAGGTTGAGAACCGCTGACCTAGAGCCAGAAAGCCAATGGAAGGCCCACGTGCTTTGGGGGTGGAGGGGAAGTGAATAATCACTGATACTAGGTCTTCTGCCCATGATGTGATGAAGAACAGTAAGTTGAACTTTGTTATGCAAAAGCAATGCAAATTAATTCAAAATCTGAAAACTCACCCTTTACTCTACCAAAGTATAAATCCATGTTTTTGCTCACCCCAAACATGAAGTGAGTCAATGGATTCTAATCTTGATATATCTCAATCCTGTTACTTTTCTCTATTTTTATTACTTCAGCTTGTGTTCAGTTTCTCATTTGTTCTTACCTGAATAATTACAATAGTGTCTCATATACCCAGGGCTTAGGATGATGGCTGGCACATAGTAACACCTTAATAGTACTTGGATCAAAAGTCTGGGCTGGGGAAGCAGACAAATCATTATGTTAGTATGATAAGCACTGTGAAATGGGGGATCCTGCCATGGGAGAAAATACCCTGTGGTAAACACCCCAAAAGAATCATAATAAAATTGACCTTGATAAGCATTTTATGTTTAACAATTAAAATATGTGAGTACTTGCCAAGACCGGTTTGGCTCAGTGGATAGGGCGTCGGCCTGCGGACTGAAGGGTCCCAGGTTCGATTCCGGTCAAGGGCATGTACCTTGGTTGCGGGCGCGTCCCCAGTGGGAGATGTGCAGGAGGCAGCTGATCGATGTCTCTCTCTCATCAATGTTTCTGACTCTCTCCCTTCCTCTCTGTAAAAAATCAATAAAATATATTTTTTTAAAAAAATAAAATATGTGAGTACTTAACATATGCAAGGTACTATATATAGCAAACACAACAATGAACGTGATACAGGATTTGCACAGTGGAGCTCATGATCTCATGAGATAGTGTCACATGCCCAAATTGCCTAATCAACATATATTCTTGGATATCTAATATTAATCTCAAAATTAAAAGCTGAACTACTGATTCCCCACCTACCACCATCACCTAATCACACATGAAAAACATGCTCCATCCCTGGCTGGTTTGGCCCAGTGGATAGAGCGTCGGCCTGTGAACTGAAGGGTACCAGGTTCGGTTCCAGTCAAGGGCATGTACTTTGGTTGCAGGCACATCCCCAGTGGGAGGTGTGCGGGAGGCAGCTGATCGATGTTTCTCTCTCATTGATGTTTCTGGCTCTCTATCCCTCTCCCTTCCTCTCTGTGAAAAATCAATAAAATATATTTTTAAAAAAAGAAAAAGAAAAACATGCTCCAATTACAGCATTCATCATATCAGATAATGGCAACTCCATCTTTCCACATCTTTAGGACAAAATATTGATATTTTTTTTCCTAACAGTCCACATCCAATCCATCAGTAAATCTGGTTGTCTTTACCTTCAAAATGAATTCATAACATGACCACTTCTCACACCTTCTGTTGCTATGATTACAGCAGTAGCATACCTAGTCTTCCAGCTTTTTTCTGAAACCATACTTTCAATAGTCGAGTCTCAACATGGAAGACTGATGATCTTCAGGGAAAGTTCTGGCTATAGATGATTGCTTGAAGTATAGGTGGTAGGTGGGTAGATATATGATAGATAACTAGATAGATAGATAGATGTAAAAACCATGGGACTGGATAAAGTCATACAGGAATGAGTATAAATGAAGGAGTGACTAAGGACCAGGCTCCGGGACACCCAACATTAAGAAATGGAGTGGGGAATAGGAAAAATAAGCAGAGATTGAGTAGTAGCAGAGACTGAGGTGGGAGCTAAACCAGGAGAGTGTGGTATAATGTAAGCTGAGAGGAAAGCAAGGAGAAAGTGAGCAATTGCATGAAAAGTTGCCATGTGTCGAGTAAGATGAGGACTTGGAGTTGAGTATCCTATCTAATAATAGACAAACATGGTAATTGACCATACCTTTGCTACACCTCCCATTGGCTAATCAAGTGATATGCAAATTAACCACCAAAAAGGAGGCAGCTAATTTGCATACTGCGGGCAGGGCGGGACAGCACCATCCCGCCTGCCCTGCCCCGTGTGAAACCACAGGAGCCCCAGGAAAGCCAGGCCACAGGCAAGGCGGCACCCCGGGACCCAGGAGCCACCTTGCCTCAGCAGCGATCCACCAGCCCATTTGGGCATCCCATGTGCAACCTGACCAGGGGCGGCGCCCCAACCCCCGGATCAGCCCTGCTGTGTGCGCAACCTGGGGAGGTGGGGCAGGCACCGAGGGATCGGGCCTGCCATCTGCCACCTGGGGAGCGGGCCTAAGCCAGCAGGTGGTTATCTCCCGAGGGGTTCCAGACTGTGAGAAGGCACAAGTGGGGCTGAGGACACCCCCACCCACACCCTCCCCCGCCAGTGCACAAATTTTTGTGCACCGGGCCTCTGGTTAGATATAACAACATAGAGATCATTCATGACCTGGAGAAGAATAGACTCAGGTGAGTGGTGGAGGGAAAGGCATGACTGGAGTAGATGGAGGGGCAGTACAGAGAGCCAAGGCCAGTGTGTGAAGCAGGTGCTCTTAGAAGTCTTAGAAGACTGAAGCAGCAGAAAAGATTACAGAGAAGTTCCAGTTGCATGGAGCCCAGAGATA